TGTGTGTGAGCGAAAGTTGAACGTGAGTCTGTTGGAAATAGAGGCAGATACAGTTCAGTCTCTTGTAGTCCGCTGTTTCCCCGTTACAGAGAGCAGAGCGAGCGCTAGCTAATGTCGCCGGCCATACTGTGTAAGCGAGGGTGCTGCGTGACCACCGACCTTATATACCCAGACTTCTACGAAAGGCCAGGAAGTGACGCATGGAGTCCCGCCCCGGCAGCTCATAGCTGCAGCCCCTTGTCAATCACTTGCGGCAGGGGAGCGGCTGGCTGGCCGCCGGCCTACAAGGAGCGCGGGTAGCTGCTCGTTGCCCTGCGGGTCGTGCCCCGGCCGTCCCCTTGGTGGGAGACGGCGCGGTGTAGTCCGGAGGGAGACTGAGAATTTAGGGTCGATTGTAGAGTGGGTGGGGAAAGTAGAAACTGGGTGAACAGCTCTGCAGAAAACAACCGGTTAGGATCGAACATGGGTGGGTCCTTCGGAGAGTGGGCCGGGTTCGGTGGGGGCGGTGGCCGCTGCTGGACTGGCATGGTGGTTTTGAAACGGTGTAGTTCCCTGCGGCTGCTGAGGTATTTGGCCGTTCCCTGAGAAGAGTTTCCCCAGGGCGAACGCAAATCGGATATTAAAACTCTACATTTGCGGGTGACGCACACCTTGCCGAGGGTCAGGTTATTAGATTAATTCGGTTCATGCCTTGTTTGATGTGCGAATAAACGCAGTTCTCGACCCCTTTACACAATAGGCAGAAGCGTTGTTTCCCTTTTAAAAAGGGAAAAACAACGTGGCGCCCAGCCCTGGAGGACTGCAGCTCCCACCATGTGGCTCCCTAAGCCTCGGAGTTGGCTGAGCTCGGCTGCCACGGGAAAACACTGACAACTCCCTGCCGCCTTAAGTGAACTTGCGGGAATATACTCTGCAAAACTAGTCCTAAAAATATTTATGAAATTAATCAGACATTAATTGATTATTTTATTGGAATTTTCTTGATAAACTAAAGATTTCTTCCCCTTCAAAATTTACAGTACCATCATCTCACTTGATTTTGAAAGATTTACATGGAGATTAATATAAGAGTTTCAGGACTATCACAAATGGTAATTTTTAAAGCCATCTATCTAATATTTCAGTAATCGTCGAAATGGTAAAAAAAATTAACCTGAAATGGTTAAAACTGTACTAACAAAGTTACAGCTTTCATTTGAATATTTGAAAGGAGACAATAAGCTCACATAGAAAATGCCATGGTCAGAAGACAAAAGACTTTCCTTAACTAAAAGTGAAATAAGATGATGGAGTCAGCATGAAAAAGCTTTCCATAAAGTCATGGTTTGAGTTTGCACTTTAGATACCCTGTGGGGACTTACCTGCCCTACAAGAAATTGGATTTGTTCCCATTTCTTCCTGGAACCTGTTGAAAGATGCTAGGTTGTGAGGTAGGTGCATACACTACTCTTGACAGGTTTAAAACCATCCAACTCAAACTAGTTAATGAATGCTCAGAATACAGAGTGCCTAAATCCATCCGTTTGGACTGGAGACTGTTGGGACATAAAATAATAAAGGCTGATATACGTTAAACTTTTTATTGTGAATAAAAGTGAAGGCTAACAGCAGGTTATCAGTTTTACATTTAACAAACCATGTGCTTAGTTTCATTACAATGATTTCAATCCCCTCCATGTACCATCAGTTAACAGTATTTACCTTTTTTCACTGGAACTCTTGTAAATGCTGATTATTTTATTATTATAATAATTTTAAAAGAATGTCATTCTACTTGGGATAAAGGTAAAAGAAATAGTTCTTTTACAAGTGTTTTACAAGCTATTCAATTAATTTGATGGTTGCTTATTGAAATGAAGAATCATTCTACTAAACCGGCCTCAAACACTAATTGTCGTATAAACATAATTTGACATATAATTGCTTATAATTAGTTGCTTTTCAATTACTATTATGTTTTTTTACCCAATGTAATTTAAGTTAATATAAAAGTGACAAGAATCTTGGCAAGGTAAATACTTGTAATTTGATGTAGTATAATTTAAATCCTGTCTAGTGACTGGATTGGTGCTTGGTAAAATACATTATTTATCTTAAGCATCATTCATTTTTATCTTGAAACTCAAAAGCTCCTGTGTAAATTACTCTGTTGGTCATTTAATATTAAATACTTCACTAAGCTTAATATGTAAAAATATATTTATAATCACTCTTAAACTTGTTTCCTTTATCATCAGCCCATTTCTTATCAAAGTGACCATTTTCCCCACTTTACCAGCCACTTGCACATAAAGGACTGCTTAAATTCCATCACCTTGGGCCTTTTGCAGTTCTAGCCTGGAAAAGACAGAAAGTGGAGAAAAAACAATTTCTTGGTAATAACAAGATCTGGAAATTATAACATTAGTTCTGCTCACTTAGTCACATGTGCGTAGTGGCTTATGACCTGGGCTGCAAACGGCAAAGTCAGCAGTTCAAATCTACCAGCTGCTTCTCAGGCGAAAGATGAGATGCGGAACCTTTTTCCTGCTAAAATTTATAACATCTTTCACAGACCATTTACAATTACTAACTTAAAAATTCGCCTGATATATTTGGTCAAACAATTAATTCATCTCTAATATGATGGCGGAGTCCTGGTGTGGCACTGTGGGTTAATGTGCTGGACTGCAAAGTCAGTTTAAACTGCAAGGTCAGCAGTTCAAGCTCACCAGCCATTCCTTGGAAGCCCTATACAGGGTCGCTATGGGTTGGAACCGACTTGACAGCACTCGACAACAGCAACATGATGGCTGGAGTCCTGGTGTAGTGCTGCAGTCTAATGCTCTGGACTGCAAGGTCAGTTTGAACCCATAGGTTGGAGGTTCAAGCTTACCAGCTGCCCCTTAGAGACACTATACAGAGTCCCTATGAGTTGGAACCAACTCGACACACAACAACAACTACAACAATGTGATGACTAGAACTGTGATTGCCTTGGCAGAATCAGAGCAAATTATTTTGAGGGCTGGTGTAGTACTAGGTTAACGTGCTAGACAGCAAAGTCAGTTTGAACTGCAAGGTTGGCAGTTCAAGCTTACCAGCTGCTCACTTGGAAACTCTATATGGGGTTGCTATGGGTCAGAACCAACTTGACGGCACTTTACAACAACAATATGGCCTGGGGGGTCGGGTGTTCCCCACCCCTGACTTAAATAGCCTCGGAAACCCAGGACAGGGTCCCTGTGAGGCAGCACCAATTCCAGGGACAGAACCACCCCTCCCACCAGTCACATGTGCACAACTAATTGCAAGGCAGCCTGAAAAATGCAGTTGTTAGCTGGATGGCTATTTGTCTACTCCAGAATTGAATGATTCTGTAGCTCAAAGAAAAGAAGAGCAAATGCATATGGAAGTATAATATTAAGATATATCACATACTAGTATTAACACCTACTTTACATTAGCTAGCTAGTCAGTCCCTCACATTATTCTGTTTTTCATTATTTGCACAATTCTTAATATTCTATTGTATTTACTTATTTGTTGATGGTCAGCATCCTCTTATCCTCAATTAAATTGTAAGCTACATAAAAGCATATTTGTCTTTCTTCCATGCTATATAAATTTAAGGAGCTCTGGTAGTGTAGTGGTTATGAATCGGGCTGCGAACCACAAGGTCAGCAGTTCGAAACTACCAGCTGTTCCGTGGGAGAAAGATGAGGCTTTCGGCTCCTGTAAAGATTTACAGCCTCGGAAACCCTGTACAGGGTCGCTAGGAGTCAGAATCGACTCCAAGGCACACAACAACAACAACAACAATGAAAGGAAATGAGTACCTGAAATTACTCAAATCTTGAAAATTTAAGATTTGGACACTGAAAATAGGAATTATTTATGCTAGGTACATACTAGATATATACAAATTATATGGAGTCCTGGTGTGGTATTGCAGGATAAGCACTAGACCACAAGGTTGGTTTGAAAAGCAAGGGTAGCAGTTCAAACTCACCAGCTGCTCCTCAGAAACCCTATACTAGGTTGCCATGAGTTGGAACCAACTCATCAGCACTTAACAACAACAACTGCAGGTATATGGAAGTGGTAATGTCCCAGGACTTATAGTGTGTGGCACTGTAAGATAAGTATTGAACTGCTAGCCACAAGGTTAGCATTTCAAATCTACTAGTTGATCCTCATAAACCCTATACAGGGTCACTATGAGTTGGAACCAACTTAGCACTTAACAAAAACAGCAGTTTCCTGGGATTTAGTACTAGAGTTCAGGGCAAAAAAAATGAGATCAGGACTGAAAGGAAGGGATGTGGCCAAGTATACAAGAACAGATTTGATGCATTAGACACTAATGACTGAAGACCCTGATTTGTAGGATGACATCAAGAACATCAATCAGGAAGAAAGCAAAAGGTCATTAAGAAGAAAGAAAGAAAAGATCAAAATGGATTTCAGAAGAGACTCTGAAACTTGATATAGAGTGTGGAGATGCTTAAGCAAATGGAAGAAATGAGGAGGTAAAAGAGCTGAACAGAAAATTTCCAAGGGCAATGTGAAAAGAAAAAGGCAAGTATTATAATGAAATGTACAAAGACCTGGTGGAGTTAGAAAACCAAAAGGGAAGAACATACTCAACATTTGTTGCTTGAAAGAACTGAAGAAAAAATTTAAGCCTCAGGTTGCAATATTGCATCTCAATGTCAAGAAAACAAAAATCCTCACCACTGGACCAATAAACAACATTCTTATCAATGGAGAAAAGATTGAAGTTGTCAAGGACTTCATT